GGCAGGACTGGAGGTGGTGCTCCTCCAAGGTTCAGGTGAAATGGGGGTCTGTGGGTCCCTCAGCGGCCTCGCTGCTGCAAGGCTGAGCTCGTGGGAGTCAAGTAAGGTCCCTGGGGAGGCCTTCTCCCTTTGTCTCTGGAAACTCTATGCCTGAGAGAGGAACAGGGGCAGAAAGTGCGAGGGGCAAACTATACCCACCCCCCCAGCAAAGAAAGCAGCACAGGCTAAGTCAGAAGTCCTGAAAACTGGGATGGGTAGCAGCAAAGAACAGAATAATTCTTTGTCTGTGTGTGTGTGGAGAGAGATGGCCAGCTTTTTTTTGGGGGGGGGGGGTGTCTTTCACTGGGACCTGGAGCTCTCATTAATTTAGCTGGGTAGGCCAGCAGAGCCCCAGGTACCCTACTTCCTCAGCACTAGGAATACAAGCATCTCCTACCATGCCTAGCTTTTTATGGGGGTCCCAGAGAGCTAACTCAGACCCTCATGCTCTCACAGCAAGTACTTTATTCCCACTGACGCATCTCCCCAGGCCCAGGAGACTAATACGTTACAGATGGCTGCCGCGTAGGGACTCATGTGCCCATCAGCTGCTTCTTGAACCTTGTACAGAAATCTGCTATCTCCTGAGGCTCGAAGCTGAGCGCATTGCCTGAAGAGTCTCAAGACTGGAGCAGCATCTGGGACAGTGAGCACAAGCCTGGAGACAAGGGTGGGTGTCAGGGAAGGGACCATATTCACAGGGCAGCCAGCATCCTTAGCCATGGTCTATCATGGTCTATCAGTCCCCTAGGGAGAAGCAAAGACATACGTCCACATACAAATGTGAAGAGCAACATCAGCCACAAGGGCCAGATGGCTGAAACAGCTTGTGAGCCCACTAGGCCATAAACAAAATGTAGTCCACCCATACCACAGACTATCACGCGGTCCTGAAAAGGAAGAAAACCCTGCCCTCTGCCACATTATAGATGGACCTTAAAGGTACTGTTTAAAGATAGGAACCAGCCATAGGAAAGACAGGTCCTCTGTATTACCACTCATGTGATGTTCTTGGAATTACCATATCTACAGGCATGGGAGAAGGTAAGTTGTGGGTGCTAGTAACTGAGGGGGGCACAGCTAAGGGGCGAGAGTTTGTGAAGATGTACATAACTCTGGCAACACACTCAAAGCCACTGAATCACACACCGACGGACGTGCACTCTGTGCAGGGGAAAGTATAACTCTCTCTGGAAAGTTGCTTCAAAGCTAGAAATGATGGGGCTGGGGACAATGTTCAGCAGGTAAAGTCACCTGCCAACAAGTCTGATGAGCTCAGCTCTATTCCCTGGAAGTAGAAAATGGACTCCTGAAACTTGTCCTCCGATCTCCGCACCCCTTCATGCAAAATAAATAAGTAAATGTAATTTTACTTTATTTGAAAGAGTTTTAATTTGTGTCTATGTGTGAATCTGTGTGGTGGACACAAGCGAACCCCTGCATAGCTCAGAGGCACTGGATCCCCCTGGAGCTGGAGTTGACTGTTGTTGTGAACAGCCTGATCTGCGTGCTGGGAACCAAACCCAGGTCCTCTACAAGAGCAGTGTGTGCTCTTAAAGGCTGAGCCATTTCTCCAGTCCAATCAATACAATTTAAAATAAAAGGCAGACACGAATGTCCCAAGGCCAGCTCTCTCCAGCCCAGGGTAACAACATTAGGGATCAGCCTCTCACCAGACCTGTGAGCTTCAGCCTCATGCACCCACTCTCTGCCCTCACATTCAGGTGAAGTAATTTGGAATCACGAGGGCCAGGTGGTGGTGGCACACACCTTTAATCCCAGCACTGGAGAGGCAGAGGTAGGCGGATCTCTGCGAGTTCAAGGTCAGGTCAGCCTGGTCAACAAGAGCTAGTTCCAGGTAAGGCACCAAAGCTACAGAGAAACGCTGTCTTGGAAACAAACAAACAAACAAGCAAAAAAGGGATCACAAGAGAGGGGTACTTTCATGGAGGGTTATTTAGGAGAAAGGGACACTGAGTCACAGGGAAGTCAGTCCTTGGAGACCTTACCCAGGGACACAGATGAACCTGCTAAAATCACTGGCTGGTCCTCCCTCCTGATGCTTCAGCTGGGGAGAAGGGACTAGGGGCTGGAGAGGGGATACCCAGCCTGCTCCTCTCAGAGAACAGTGTGTACCTGGAGTTGTAGGCAGCCTCAGATAGGGCCCTTTTCCTGACTTCTAGAACACCCCACCCCAAGTCACAACCTGTGGACTTCTCTCCTCAGGCCACATCCATGGTGTGGTAAGCAAGGCTGGGCTTTTCTGCCAGCTCTGATTAGCCAGACAAGAAGCACTCGGGGAAGATGAGCCTCACAGGTCGAGGGGCCAACAAGGCACCGGGAGAGCAGAAGGAGACACAGAGGCTTCAGGACTCCTTGAGTGACTGGGGCAGGCCATCTCAAGCTCGACTAGACAACCAAAAGTGGCTTCCTCTCTGTGGTTCATGAGGTGTGCATGTATATGTGCCTGCACACTTGCACACAGCCTGCTAGAGTGGCCTTCTGTCACCCTGTCATGAGCATACCCTTCGGGGCTGAGGCTGTGAGGTTACAGGAGTACCGAAGGGCTCTGTCCTTATGCAACTCCTCTAGAATTAGTGGGCTTATGTGAACTAAGTAGAGATGGCAAAGGGGTCTGGCAACAAGGAGATAGGTGACCCTGTCTCCATGCCCCTGGTCACTTGTCCACCTTGGCTCTGTATTGGAGTGACTACTGCACCCCAGGACACCCCAACTGCCCTACCCGGGGAGCCTCCTGGGCATGGGGGAAGCAGGGACCAGCAACTGGAGGCCCCTGTCTCCTCCCCTGGCTAGGAGAGTGGGCTGTAGCCTGAGCCTGTAAGGACCATAGTGGGGGTTGGGGTGTGTGTGTGTGTGTGTGTGTGTGTGTGTGTGTGTGTGTGTGAGAGAGAGAGAGAGAGAGAGAGAGAGAGAGAGAGAGAGAGAGAGAGGCAAGACTGGTGGGGGGGACTGTGGCAGCCAGCAGGACATGATGAAGAGTGACCTTGGCCCCCAGGGCTGCCTGTGCCCCTGTGGAGATTGCAAAAAGTTCCTTGTGCATGCAGCGTGAAAGATGGGATTCCTCCTCCCCCAACAGTGAGGGTCCTCTGTGCCCGGGGCCCCATGAATTATTTCTCTAAGGAAAATACAGTTGTCCTGCCCACTTCCTGACCTTCCCCATCCTCTAAATCAACACTTGAAGGGTGCTTTTGCTGGCCTTCAGGCTCCGCCAGCGTGCTCTCCATCCCCCACCCTCCAGCTCTGCACTCCAGCGGGGTGGGGCTGAACACTGACTCCATTTCAGGGGGCCCCAAGCCCTGCTCAGAACCCACAGCCCACAGCAGAGCCATGTTGCAGAGCATGGATTCCAAGTCCAGCAGACAGACACCCAGAGACAGGGGCAAGATGCCACATTGGCAGATGAGTGATGAGACTGGGCTATCCACAGCATCTGGTGATACCACAACTGCTCCCCAAATCTCTAAGCAAACTTCCTACTTAGAACTAAATTTCATACCAATATACACTCATAATCAGAAACACTGAGGCAGTCATAATTTAAATCATACACACTTAAAAGTTACTCAGACACACACACACGCACACACACAGACTCAATTACACACCCAGAGACAGACAAACTGAGACAGTCACACACGGACACTCAGACACACACAATAACACAGTTTGAAACACACTGACACACAGTCATATACTCAGACCCACACACTGACAAAGTCACAGACACATACACACACAAAAACACATAGTGTTAGTCTCACACACAATGACACACAGTCATGGTCACATTCTCACACACACACTGAAATAGTTTCGGACACATACATCGACACACAGTCACAGTCACAGAACCAGACACACATGCTCTGAGAAACAGTCATATTCTCAGATATATTAACACACGTAATACTGGACACAGGCAGAGACCCACACAGTCAGTCAGTGAATGACAGACACCTTGACACCTAGATACAGTCCTATAAAGACGCAGTTACAAACACAAACTAGGGCCAGCTTGGTGGCTCGCATCTTTAATCTCTGTACTTGGGAAGCAGGGGTAGACAGACCTCTGAGTTTGAGGCCAGTTTGGTCTACAAAGCAAGTTCCAGGACAGCTAGGCCTACACTGAGAAACCCTGTCATGAAAATTCAAAACCCAAACACACACACTCAGGAATCAAGGCTGACAAATAATCGATAGACGCATACTCTCAAGATTCCAGTCGATGCAGCTAAAGGCACATGACTTTCCTTCTTTAAAATCTTAAGTTATTGTCCGTGTATATATGATGGGTGTGTGTGGGGAGGTGTGTTACACATATGTGTGGAAACCAGAGGATAATTTTGTGGGGTCTACTCTGCCGCACATTCACCTTCAGTGGGCTCTAGGGATCAAACTCTGGTCTCCAGACTTACAGGCAAGGGTCTTTATCTAGCAATCAATCCTGCAGGCCCTCTGCTCCTTGTAATCTCGGTCCCTGGGCTCACACTGGCTCCATGCTGCTCTTTCATGTCTCATCACCTATAGCCTCTGGTCATGGTGGTCTGGTCTGGCTGTCTCCTTGCGATGACACAGGTCCTGAAGCCTGCAGATCTGCCTCTGATCTCCCTCATGCCCTTCCACATCCTTCCTGCTCACCATCCCTCTCTGGTCCTTCCTGCCATTGTATCACACCAAAACCTGTCTGGACAGGCGATTCCCTCCTCCCCCCAATGAGGGCTGCAATCTGCAACTGTTTCCTGGGGCTCAAACACGTGCCTGGCAGTGGGCTTCTGCACCCACAGAGCCACCCTGAGCTCCTGAGTCCTATCAGGCACGAACGTTCACACTGCTGTCGGTGTCCCAGAAAGCTGACCTGCCTCAGTTCTATCCACTGCCAGGCCTGCTGCACCACATGTGTCAAAGATCCAGAGGCACCATCCATGACAGAAAGCAAAGTGTCCAGTTCTTTCTCCACAAAGGATTTTTATTTGGGTTTGTCAGAACTACTGTGCTTACTAGGTGTGGTCCAGTCCCACAGGTCATAGGCCAAACCAAGAAGGGATACCAGGGCACCGGGGGTCGCTGCTCTGCCTCTGCTGCTGAGGCTCCTCTTCCAGAGGGTCTGCAGGACTGGGCTCTTTCTCTGGAAAAAGATCTGGGAAGGTGAAGGTCTGCCCATGGGCCTGGAGAGAAAAACAGGGGCTTAGTAGAGGGTGGGAGGCTGGCCTCCCAATCAAAATGAGGGTTTCCATGCTTAGAGGCTAGCAATCCTGGACTCTGGATGACAAAACAACAGGATGATGAGCCACCAGTGTCTCTAGGCCGGGTTCCTGCTAGGAAAACAAACACCTTGCAGGCCAGCCCTTCAACCTTTATCTATCAGCGGCAGGCTATTACCGGGACAATGGCCCTTTTCATGGACATTATCTCTTTACAGGGGTCTGCACCAGCCCAGGGCTCATTAAAAGTAGTCCAGCAAAGGCCCATTCACCAGGCAGCCGGTGGAACTGGGGGCAGGAACTAGGAGCAGAAAAACAGGACACAAATGACGTCTGGTGCCATGCTAAAACTTTTTCCATCCAAAATATCTAAAAGCCTTCAGCCACATTAAAGGCCGCCCTCCTCCAGGCTCCGAACTTGGCAAATAAAATGCACACAACGTACAGAGAAACCTACATACGCAGCAGTCTATAAATCAAGCCTGGCTTTGCAAATTAACTGCTTTTACGTCTTTCACTAGAAGTTCAGAGTGTGTCAGCATGGCCACGTCCCAGCCTGGGGCCCCAAGCATGTGGGCCAGCACCAGTGAAGGCCCTGGGAGGGGGAATGAGCTACTTCTGCAAGGCTCTAGGCAGATACAGGGCTGGGAGGCTCACTTTCAGCCTGCTAACATCTCCAAGATAAGAGGTTTAAGAGGGAAGGGGCACAAAAGAGCCAAGCTGGAGGCAGAGACCCCTCCTACCGTTCCCTCTTGTCTCGTAAGTGGACAACTAGGGAATTCTGAATCTGGGGCCCCTTAGTAAGCTCTGCCAGAGGTGTGCACTTGGCCCCCAAAGACTTGCTTTGGGACTGGGTAGATAGTTTAGTTAGTAGAGTTCCTGCCTAGCGTGAATGAGGCCCTGGGTTTGATCCCTAGTACCACAAAAACTGGGGTGGCTCATGCCTGGTGCTGTAATGGCACTGGGGAGATGGAAGCAAGGGGATCAGAAGTTCTAGGCCATCCTTGGCTACACAAGGAGTTTCAAGGCTAGTATGGGCTTTTCAATAAAAAAAAAAAAAAAAAAAAAAAAAGAGGCAGTAGCTCAGAAGCAGAGCTGATTGTACACCTAGAACTGACAGCTAGGTTTGGTGGCAGCTGGAGCCCAAATTGATAGCCTAAGGTCCAGAGACAAAGCTAAGACAGCCTATGCGGGCGGTATTGGGAAAGAGCAGAGACAACAAGCAAGGGACCTATTTCACCATCTACGGGTGCCCGTATGACTTCTGAGACTTCTGAGGAATATCTCTAAAGATAATTACTTCATACTTTTTAAAAAATGTAGCCACCCACCCTCCAAGGAGGAAGAGCCGGTTTTGAGGGGCCCAAGGCATGAAAGGAAAAAAGGCCAAGGGGAAAAGTGGAGAAGCCAGTCCTGGCTCCAGTAATCCCAGGGCCCCAAGGGGCCATTGTTGGGCTGGACCATGCCTGCCCATAGCATTTATTCTGGAGCCTAGGGCTCAGGGCCTGTGTGCACCACTCAGTCAAACACCATTCTGTGTAAACACGGTCAATGCTCTTTTTGTTATGTGGGGACTGAGAGCTTGCTAAGGCTCCCTCCCCACCCGACCAAAAAGATGTTTATCAGGTTGTCAGAAGAGAAATGTGGACGCCCACCATGTGGGACCCGCCTTTTCCCTTCCACACTCACAATGAACTGTCTCTCTGGTTGCCCCTTCCTGAGCCTCACAATGCAGTTACCAGAAGCCCCCCACCCCACGCTAGAAGACAAAGACGGTCTTTGCAGATACAGCCTGGAAGTCCCAAACACTAACCATTTCTAGACTGGAGCTGGGAAACAGGGTGCCTTACAAATTTTAATTCTGGTCGAGAAGCCTTGCCCAGTGGGGAGATGATGGGCCCCCATTTATCACGATTTCACAGAGGAAGATGGACATGTCTGAGGGCAGCTGCAGACACCAGATCTAAGAACGACCGAGTCCAGCTTTCACGAGCGTGGTGGGCTGAGGGGGGAATGTAGGGGCTCAGATGTCTCAAAAGCCACTTGTAACTGTAGCTGTCTCTGAAGTGACTTGTGGCAAATGCCAGCATGTGGATGTGGCCCCACAGGCCAAGACAGAGACAGATGGGTGGATTCAACACCCAGTGTGCACACACAGACAGACCTTCAGATGGGCCTTTTTTTCCCACCTGCATGGCTGATTTTGTGCACAGCAAATATTAGGCCCTGTTTAGAACAACTGTGGCTCTTTTTTCAGCAAAGCTGCCTCCCTCACAGGGTCTTTGAACAAACAGCCATCCAGCCCAGGCGGGGTGAGAGGAGCCCGTTCTTAATAGCATGACTGCCATCTAGTGGCCGGCTGCAGCGGCTGGGCTCCCTGGAGGGCTGTTTACACTGAAACTAGAGAAATTGGAGGAAGCCCCCCTGTGGGGTTCAAGCAGTGGGGAGCTAGTTAATGGACCCTGTCGAGTGGAGTCTTCCCACCAAGATTCCCAGAGGTCAAAGGGGATTCTTCCTGGACACTCAGACTGAAGGGTGGTGGTTTAAAATCTGGTCTCAAAGACCTGGGGTCCAGGAGATAGGAGAGCAAAAGCAGGCTTGAAAATGCTTGATACTTCCTGGAACTCTGCATCTCAGTGAATAAAGGCTCCAGCTAGAAGTCCTCTCCCTGGACCCCAGGTTCTGGTGCCTGTACTGGTGGAATCGCTGTCATGCTAGGACTAACAGCGGGATGTGCAGGGCCCTTGTGCCCCAGAAATCTCGACCTCTTCACTGCATTGGGCTCCTAGGGGAACATCAACTCTGCACCAGGCCCCAGGATCTGCCCAAGGCTGGGTCATCACAGAGCTGTGACTTTTCACATCCGTCCTCTGATTTCTGTTTTCACCAAACTCAAAGCCAAGGCACTGGCCATTACCACAAAAGAAGGAATGGACTTCCTGAGCTCTGCGGAGGTGCACTAGGACCTCGGCTTCTCCCTCCCCAGGTCTCTAGGTCTAAGTCCCAGAAAGGTGGAGTGTATTGCACAAACAGCCCCAGGACCCAGCTGTGACAAGGAGCAGAAACAGGGCTGCTCTTACTCACCAGCTGCACGTAGGCCACTTTGTAGTCCGGCTTCTTGATTCTTACGTTCTTGTGGTCCCTCCTCCTGTTGGAGCCTGTGAGGGGACAGCAGACCCCACCTTAGCTCCTGGCCCCTGATCAGCCCCACAGTCTAGGAACCATTCTCCAGCAAGGCCTCGGATCTCATCTAGAGGTGGGGGTTTCAAAGGGCAGACTGAGGACCAGGAGGGATCTCAGACAGATCTCCCAGGACTGTCACCAAAACCAGTTTCTATGTTTAGGTAAAAATAGTCTTTGAAAATAGAAATGACAACAAAAGATTTTAAGTGAATAAAAAGGACCTCTTTCCTCTCTGGTGAAAGGTAGCTTCTCCAAGGAGGGTACTTCTCAGGGGCAGTACTGCCAGCCAGCCCTGGCCACTGGTTCTGCCACTGATGGGTCACATCAGGGCCTACTACAGGAGGGGACTGTGGAGACCTACTAGAGACCAGCTCAGACTAAGGAGGTGGTTCTGGGTCAAAGGAGCAGAGGACATTTCAGGGTCACAGCTAAAAGTTCTGAGGACCTTCAATGAACTACAAGGCAAGGGACTAGGGGCAGGCTTCCACTGACGAGCACCATGTGACTCTGGCAAGTCACCCAAGCCCCTCATGGAGAGTCTGGAGACAACATGGAGTAGACACAGGGCTGTATCCTGGAGGCAAGTCACCAACACGGGTACCCACCATGCTGCACCCGCGTGCGCACAGCAGCCACAGGAACATTGTAAATTTGCTCAAGGTAATTCCGGAGGTCCACCCTGGTCATCCTGGAGGAGACAGAAAGAAAACAAGTCTGAGCTAAGCCTAGATAAAAGATACAAAGGAAGATATCCTACCCAAGGATAAGGATGAAAGTTCAGGAGCGGTTGTGGCCAGATGGATCTGAGTCTCAGTACTGTCCTCTCTCCAGACACAGGGCTAAGTTAGGGCAATGAGAGCTTGGTTTCATCAGCTTGGTTTACTTGGTCCTCTCTTCTTGGGTCCTTGATCATCACCAGGAGCAAGCTGGGCTCACTCTGATAAAATGTAGAGTATCGGGCCTGAGACTAAAGACTTGTTACTGTGAGCTAAGAGATGTTTGCTGCTAGAAAGGGGCCTCTAGGGCAGGGGAGATGAAGCCCACATAGGCTTTCAGCACAACCCTGGCCACCATAAGCTCCTGTGCATGTCTGTAAGGCTGAAGAGACCCTACCCCAGCTTCTATAGGTATCTCCCCCTGCCCCCCTGCCCCTTCTCCCCCAGCTGAGCGGATCCCTGAGGCTTGTAGGACACAGAGAAGCACCAGCAGTTTGGGATTGCACTGCGCCTTCCTAAAAAAGTGGCCCACTGAACTGAGCAGGAGGAGGTGAGGAGCTCGGGCTAACAATCCAGAAGCTCTGCAAATCTCGGCATGCTCCAACCCAGCCTCCGGGGACTCCTTTCCTGGGATAAGGATGGAGGCAAGAATTCAACACATCTCAGGCTTTCTGTTAAGCTTTCCCCAGGTGGAGGGCGAGCCAGGAAAGCAGCCAAGAGCATGCTTGCTCTCTGGCTGCCTGGAGCTCTGCAAACACCAGGCCCCTCCACCATCTGCTGAGCAAGCAAAGTGGCCCCAGGTCTTTCCACCACAGGAAAAGCCTGGCCTTGGGGAGCTGAGCTAGAAAACAGGACAGGACCTACATCCTAGAGGCTGCTCCCAGCCCCCAAATTCCTTTGGGACTGACTTACTCCATGGGGATCCGGAACTGCACAGTATCTTCAGGCTGGGCAGTACCAGGCCGCACCAGCTGGATAAAGAAGTTGGTTCGGAATACACGGAGCTGGGGGCCACCCAGCTGGTAGAGGGGGTACCTGCTCAGGAGAGATTAGGGGGTTAGGACTACACGCGCGCAAGCCGCGCGCGCGTGCGCGCGCACACACACACACACACACACACACACACACACACGAGTGCTACAGGCTCATGTATCTACTCACACCAGTAGGCAGGCTGGGGGCTGTTATACACAGGACCTGTATCAGGACATGGACGTCACAGGGCCTGTCCCTACTGCATGGTCTGATCAGTGCAGGGGTGGGTTGGGATGTGTGGGCAGGAGGGGGACAAGAAACTTCTCAGTCCTTAGCCTCCGTTCTGGGGTGCCAGGGTTATGGACACTACAACTTGCCTACGGAAAGGGCAATGGGGCAGCTTAAAAAACAAAAACAAAAACCAGGAGCTGAGGCTTATGGTGTGGCATGGTGGCAGAATAATGGTCGTAGTCCCAGCTTGTAAAAATGCAAGAGAGCAAAGGAGGGAGGACCTCATGAGCAGAGTGGTGGTGGTACTCCACTTGAAGGTACCATGTCTTTCGAAGGCCTACCAACTCCTGCTTCTGGATATCCCCATGGCCTGGGAGAAGGACCCCTTTATTCTCCCCCTCAGCACAGAAGAGCCCTTGCTCCTTGAGAGGGAGACCAATGGGCCGGAGGCTGGTGAAAACAGTGTTTCCAACATGGTGCTCCAAGCTGGCAGCACCTCACTGGATTCCTAAAACTACCCAAACAGACAGAAGCTGTTAAGGATTTGGGCTAGCCACTGTTTTTCACCCTTATCAGACAAAGCAGAATCTCTTCCTGGTGGTCTTGCACCCTCCCAGCCCACTGAACTGTCATGAAGTGGAGAAACTCAAGGCCTGTGGATTTACTAGAGGTGCACGGTCCATGATGCCCAGGTGGAGGGTGGGTACACAGGACTGCCTATAGTTCCCACTGATAGCCAGCAGTGTGCCATGTGGGTCAAACCTGGGAGCACAGGCACGGGTGTGTGTGTGTTCAGGGCTGAGAAGCAGATACCTGGGTTTCAGATGACTCTGAAGGTAGCCTGCTGGGAGCCTCTGAGGCAGGACCCAAAGCTAAATGTTTGCTAAACTTGATAGCTCAAAAGCCAACCCAGTGATCAAATCCATACATTGTTGCCAGACTAGTGACCTAGAGATTGCTGCCTATGCTCTGGCAGAGCCTCCCTGAGAGGACCTTGAACTCTGTGCCTACAGGAACAGGAAGCAAAGGGGTCAGGGAGAAGCTCCTGAAAGAAAAGGGGGATATGGAGCCCTGAAGTACAGGTCAATTGTGGTACTCAAGATGGCCTCACGTTATCAGTTAAGGCTCAACTGTGGCATAGCATGAGGACAAAATTGGGAAGATCTTCCTTAAAGGTGGGGGGGGGGTGGATACAGTGCACACTAAACTTCCTAGTCTCTGAATCTTCAAGATTAGGACCTGAGAGCAGAGGCCCAGAGACCATATCGGGGCCATGTGAACTATTTGCATTTCTCTGTTCTCCCTAGATCTGCCATTATCCACCAGCTCTCCCCACAAACTGCCTGCTGGGTGTGTCCCAAGGCTGGTGACTCCCCTAGAAAAACTGCAGCCTCCTCTTGGTCCCAGCCTTGCTGCTCTTCTGATGTTAGCTTTTCAGGGTTCCCGTAACTCCCTTCCTGTTATTCTTCACCAGCAGCGTACCTCAAGTGAAACTCTTGGGTCTCCTCCTCACTGGTAACTAGGCTGTGATTTGCTCTCGGTAGCTCAGGCCTTATCCCTGATCTCACTCTGTCTTCACCCACCACCAACCATTCACACATGGGTCCCACTAGCTCCTTGCAAAGCCAGGGGGTGAGCACGGGAGCTGAACCAAACTGGCTCACTCGGCCATGGTTCTGAGGGCCCTTGTCCCTCCTAAGTCAGCCTGCAAAAAAAAAAAAAAATCACACGGGTGCCCACCAGGCAATTCCTACAGTCCTCTCCCCAGCTGTGTGCAGGGTTCCCCATATCCCTTCTCCATGAGAACCCCCAAACCCACATTAATGCTCAACCCAGGGCCACCCATCCAGTGGGTCACGTGTTCACTGAACACGTGTTTCCTGCTTAGACTGTGGGAGGCCAGCCTGCTGGCCACGTGGAGATCTGTGAATGCAGCAACTTTTGGGGGCTTAGACCAGGAGAACTGAGAGCACCGGCCGATCTCAGCCAAGCTCTGGCTATTTGCCAGAGCAGACCCGCGCCGTTGGCTGTGATTGACAGCCAGTACACTACACAGCGGTGGCTCTGCCGCGTGGACCTTTGCGGGGAAACCAGCCGAGTGCGGGCGCCTCCTGCTTCCGGTCAGCGGGACCGCCCGGGCCCTGCGCCCACCCGACCTGGCCTTTGCTGCCCGTTCAGCCCAGCGAAGATGTTACTCACAACACATTCCGCGCCATGGCAGCCGCACCTCCCGGGCCGGAAGGAGCGACGTCCCGCACAGTGCCCGCGTTGGCACAGCGCCCCCTCGCTTCCGGAGGCCGCGCTACCCCTGTCCCTGCGCCGCAGGACCCCGCACGTTCGGTGTCCCGCAAATCCCCTCCCCCACCCGTGTACCGCCAACTGCCCGGGCCCCGCCCCTGCACAGTTCACCCCGCCTCTCCGGAGGCCTGGCACACAATGCACAGCCACGCCCCTCACCCGAACCCGCAAAAAGCCCGCGTGCACATTGCACCCGTTTTTTTTTTTTTTCACCCAGACCCATACATAGCAGAGTCCCGCGCACAACTCGGTGTACATTGTACCTCCCTGATAATCAGCCTGTAGGAAACCTACACCCACGTGCTTTCCCATCCACAAGGGCACGGCGCTTTGCCATGAGCCACCCCGCACTTTTGCACTGCTGGCTGGTAGATTCTACAAAGGGCACCTACCCATTGTCCTGCTTCCCCGTCCCAACATTGCATGGTCTCGCCAAACACTGTCATACACTCTGCACCCCCAAATCTACCCTATGAACCTCCTCCTCCCCCCTTGCTTTTGGTAGTCCAGCCCTAGCTTTGTTCCTACTCCACTTTTTCTCGACTGCATCAACCCACCCCACAAGGCTCACCAAGACCTGGTTGTCCAGCCCCCACCCTGTGTCCCACCGCCTAGTTGTATAAACATCCACACTGCCTTCCTCCATGCCCACCTCTTTGTCCCTTTCCCTCCTACAACAAGCACATCAAGAGGCTACCCCATCCCCCAGTCCACACAGGACCCTAGTCACAGCAGAGATTGGGAAGGGTGGGGTGGGCTGGACCTCCTGTCTGAGGTCTAAGGCCCCTCTCCCAACCCGAACTGGGTTGTTTTCCCTCCCAGGCTAGACTCCCAGGACCCCCTCCTTTCTCCTTCCCTCCCTTTCTTGGCTGCGCAGCCACATTTGCAGCCCAGCAGCCCTGCATACTCCCTGTCCCAGGAGCCTCTGGCCACACCTCCTTCAAGAGGCCACTAGCTTTCTTAGGCCTTTCTGTTCACTGGCCCTCCGCCCTGCAGGCCAGAGACCCTCTAACCTGGCCCTTATTAAGGGACCCCTGTCCATAGCTTCTGCCCCTGGCTTGGTATTGCAGCTTTTTCCTGCTTGTGGGCCCCACTTCCCCTACACCCTCTCCTCTGCTGGTTTCCAGCTCCCCTGCCTCCCAGCTTCCTATCTTTACCCCATGGCAACATAGTTGCTTTTTGAGGCTGGTTGTGGGGAGGAGGCATGGGTGGAGATATCAGGCACTCTCTAAGTGGACCCCCCAGGAGGCTCTGGTTCCCTAGCCGGTTAGTGCTCTGTGTTTCTAGAACTAGCTGGGTAGAACAGTGGTGACTCTAGCACAGTGAGTCTCAACCTTCCTAAGACTGTGACCCTTTAATAGTTTCTCATGCGGTAGTGACACCAACCATACAATTATTTTTGCTACTGCTTCATAACTGTACTTTTGCTACTCTTATGAATCATAATATAAATATCTGTGTTTGCCACAATCTTAGGAGACCCCTGGGAAAAAGGTCACAACCCACAGGTTGAGAACCATTGTTCGAGGAGCATCTGAACCACACCCCTCCCCCCCGCCCCACCTGTTTAGTGATGAAAATGACCATGAAGGAATTGAAGATGAATAATGAGATAATGAACAGAGGTCCCTTCCCATATGCCCGTATCTAGGCCTCCTGTGTTATGATACGCACTGAGTGTGGTTATGACCCACATGAGACTGCTGGCTGGATAGATCATTGCCCTAGCAGCAGATGGTCTCAACCCAGCCTGAGTTCTGAGGCCTCTTTCCCTACATCTCGAGGTCAGACTTTTCTCCCCCTTCCTCTCCCTTCTCTTGTTGCCTTACCACGGCCCTGTGCACCCCCACATACACACACTCCACGTCTCTTCTAAGAGGCCACTGGTTAGAAGAGGAAACATGAGAACCAGAAAAGTCCCGCGTTGGTGTTTCCTTATTAAGCATTATTGGAAGCTATATTTTAAGCTGCCAGTTGATTGGTTCAAGCTTGTAGCCCAAAGCTGAGTTCAAAGCCGGCCATGCCTGCTGGGCAATAGACTTGATAGACCACGTGGGTCTCGGAAATTGAATTTAGGTTCATCAGGCTTGGAAACAAGCACCTTTACCCAAACTGAATTATCCTGTTGACCTGATCTCAAACGAGATGGCTCCGAGACATCCCTTGGGAAGAAAGCATTCAAGTATGAGGCAACCATGTAAGTAATAGATGGTGTATAACTCAGGGAGAAAAGACTCCCTAAAGGGCAGGAGTAGAAGGGACTAGGAATGAAGAAGGTGCAGAGCAGGGAGATGATGCCACAGTGTCTGGGAGCCGAGTTCCTTATGGCTTGGAAAAGAAAGAGAGAGTAAGGGCCTTTGAAGAGTCATGAGCAACTCATCTTGGGACACGTTGTAAACGGGAATATTATGCCACCTCAACTGCCTACCTACCCCAAGCCTGTCCCACCAAGGTGCCACATTTCTCTTCTGGTTGGAATTTTCAAATAGGGTGTCAGATGATTCTGGGACTGAAGATGGACAGTGTAGGGGAGGACTTCAGGGGATACACCAGATCCTCCTAACACCAACCTCGGCTCCATTATGGCTCAAATGTAGTGGTTGTGGGCCTCTGAGCAAGCCACATCTCCAACACTGGATAAACCAGACATGGTGGGGGCACGCCTGTAATCCCACAATTTAGGAGGTGGAGGCAAGAGGACCAGAAGTCTGAAGTCATCCTCAGCTACATAATGTGTTGGACACCAGCCTGAACTATAAGAAACCCTGTCACTCACACACACACACACACACACACACACACGCACGCACGCACGCACAGACACACCTCTTTTCCAATTTGTCATTAGCTTTTTAATTTGAAGGTGGCTTTCATAATGTATAATTGACAGGCCATATTTACGGTGGGCATTTGGATTTGTGTTAACACAGATTGCTGTGTGAGATGCCAACGAAGCATCCCTATGGTTTTGTGGTCCTTCCCACATCTCCTTGGACCCTTGCTCCCTGCCATTTTTGACGTGAATGAACTTGTAGGGTGTGGTCTCTTCTGTCTGACAGTTTTCACGGTGCGTTTCTGCTAGGATTCATCTCCCAGGTTCCCAGGTTGCTATACAGTCGGTGTTTACCCTCGTGATCTGTCCTCCCCGGTCTCTGCCACTTTGTCTTTCTCTTCCTCCTCTAAATCTTCCTTATGTGTGCGTGTGTGTATTTATATGTATATACAGATAGATAAATAGATAGATACAGAATCTCATGCCATTTAGCTCACCATATAGCCAAGATGACATTTAATTCTTAACCCTCCTACCCTTACCTCTTGAGTTTTAGTTCACAAGCATGCATTACCATGCTGGTTTAAGCACTACTGGGCATTGAACATGGCTGGGCATGCTAGGCAAGCATTCTAGCAGCTGAGCTACATACATTTCTAACCCTTTTTTGGCTTGTTCATTTATTTGTTTTTGAGACAGAATGTACTCTTGGATGACCTGGAACTCACAAAGATCCACCCGCCTCTGCCTTTCTAGTAGAATATTCCAAAATAAAAATCATGCCAGGTACCACCACATCTGGCTCTTCTGGCTTTTTGAAACAGAATCTCACTGGGTAGACCAGGCTAGCCTCAAACTATCCAAAATGATTCTGCCCTGCTTCCACAGTGCTGAGATCACAGGTGTGAGCCATCCTGCCCAGCTGGCCGTGGTGATCTTCTCATTTCAGCCTGCCCTGTAGTGTCCAGTGTGACCGAGTCTCCAGTTCACATCTCTCCAGCCCCACATTTGCTTGACCAGCTTCTATCTGCCTGTCTTGCTGTTCAGATCTTGGCTGAACATTTTGCATTTGGGGTGTTTGCTTTCTGATCATTGATTTTTTTGATCAGACCTAATGAATTGCATGCTATGCAGAGATGCTCTCTCTTGGCTCCTAGCTTGTCTTCTCGGCCTCCTTGTAGTTACCGTTCTTTGAATGACCCCCAACCACAAAGATTTTCTCTTATAGTCTATTCCTACTATTCCTTTGTAAATAGACCTTACATCCAGTATAAGGTATGAACTTTGTTGTTTTTCTTTTCTTTTTCTTTTTTTTTCCATTTTTTGTTTGGTTTTGGATAATCAGTTGTTCCAGCCAATTTTCTCAAATAAGTGGTTTTGCACCTAGATGCCTTAGAAACAGCTCAGTAGGTAAAGACGCTTGCTATGTGAGCTGACTACCTGAACTGGATTCCCAGAACCCACGTGGAGAGAGCCAACTCCCAAGAGTTGGCCTCTGACCTCCACCTAAGCACTGTGTCGTGCGTACCCTCCACATAAAATAAATAAGAACATGCGATAAAAAAAAATGTTTTGTTTTCAAGTCCTTGCGTGTGCATCTCTGGACCACCTTGTTCCTTTGACCTATTCCGGTGTTTTATACCCATGCTACCCTGTTGTAGAGTTTTTGTTCTCAGAATATGGGCTCTTTGATTTTATTGTTCTTGTTCAAGGATGTTTGGGCTGTTTGGGGCCATCTGTCCACAAAAACATCATCAGTGATGATGTTTACAGGGGATCTCATCTGCAGAACATTGTAAGGAAGCTCTGGTGCCACTGTAAAGTATGCATGCATTCAAAAGTTGGACGAACGGGAAGTTTTTAAAGAGCACAAAAAGGGAGACATTTACGTAAGCTCCCTGGGAACAAAGTTCAGTGGTCAATCTTGAAAATCCAGGGGCGGCTTTGGCGCCAGCTCCTTGGTGGAGGTACCTCGGTGGGGTTATGTGTTCTGTCCAAAGTGTCTTGTAGGCATTGCCGCAGGCTTAAAGAATGTTAAAGATAAACTTTGTTGCAAAAATCTGTGCATACGTGCAGAGGCGATGGGGGTGTGGAATGAGAAGGAATCTCTGGTGGGCCTTCAGAATGTGCCTGAGAAAGTAGTTATCTCAGCCAGTCAGGCAGGAGGTCTTTATTGCTTCCCGGCTCTCAAGTTGTTTGGGTCTGACAAGAACAATTTTATCTCAGTCTCAGCAGGTTTCTCCATCAGTTTAAATTTTACAATCGCCAGTTA